AAACACTGCAGGGCCCCAATATCCCCTTATTAATTGCAACAAGTTGACGTTGATTTTCTAACCTGAAATTTTCTGATGTTAAATTCAGATAAAAATGAAATTATTGTATTTGGCCCCAAACACTTCTGAAAGACAATATCTAATAAATATAGTTATTCTGGATTGCATTGCCCTGGCCTCCAGTACCACTGTAAGGAATCACACCAGCTCCACATTTAAGAGTAGGCTTAAGTTTTTGCTCTTTGATAAAACTTATAGTTAGGGCTGGCTCAGGTGAGTCCTGAACCATCCCTTAGTTATGCTCATATAGGCCTAGACTGTTGGGAGACTTCTAACTGATTACCATCTGTGCTGCAAAATTTAGTGTCCATTTTTCAGGGTATTTAGCATCATAAATTGATGCTACATAGGATCTGATGATGAGTTGTTATGACACATGTTGCACATATATGGAAATTATTAGGCAACCAAAGACTTTGTAGGAGAGTTCAGGTCAAACCTTTGTAAAGATTATTTATGTAAACAGATAAAAAGTAATATAACTGGCCCACTTAAGTATTACTGACTACTTCAAACATATCACACTATTGTGGACCATTAAATGGGCTACATCAACTGTCAGGAGAAATAAGCAGGAGTGAAACAGAAAGGCACAGTGGTGACAAACACTTCACGTTCCCTCTTTCCATATTTTTGAGTGAATTTGAACATTGAACACTGAATCTTCTTCAGAACCAATAGCTTACGTAACAAACTGTCCCCCATGACTCTTTGTGTCTGAGGGTCCAGGTTCATTACTGAAGTTGAGAGGTGATGCTTTGGACCAGTCACTCTTCATAGACAGACAGCTGGATACTGCAGACTCTGCTCTCTGCCTGTGGAAACAAGTGTTTTACACATATCGTAAACACTTTTAAAGAGTAAAGGTAACATTAACATGAATAACAAATTATTATGTTTATTTTTCCATCTGTATTTTCTGAATATTTTATCTATGGCTGGAAACATATTTGTGAGGATGTAGAGTTTCTATGTGTTTGAGGTTGATTAACTGAACCTTATGTGTTGATGGTTGAGAATAAAAGCCCTATTTAGTTGGTTATGCTATTGTTGCAGATCGAGACATCTCAGAATCTAAGAAGGTGCCACGACATCTGTCTGTACGAGCGACAAAATAGTTTGTGCTCACCAGAGCCTGTATTTTTGGAAGAGGAAAAATAAGGTTTCTGCTTACACTAACAGAATCTTACTGCCACAGGTACTAGTTGTCTGCAAGTGTGAGGCCAAAACTACAGCACAAGACTGTCTTAAAAGTAAAGGCAATGGCTGCGTTGGCTGCCACGGCAGCCCAAACATTTAAGCTCAGAAAAATGCTCCAGCACAGAAACAAAAACAGTGAAAGACTCTGGTTGTATACATAATGCTTAGTATGACACAAACGGAAACTGACGTCCCTGATTTCCCCATCTAGCAAAATTCATACATGGAAAGGGACAAAAAAAGGGGATGGTGAAATCAGCTAACAGGTTCTGGTACATAGCCTAAGGCTACTCAAATTACAAAATAAGGCTTCTCATATTACTTACAAAACTTTAAACTGATTTGGATAAAAGCTCTGCCCTTCTGGACAAACATCTGTGGTTTCTAGTTTTATACATCTTCTGATGGTTGTCCTAGTGTGGTGACTGGTTCATTCAGAGGCCATAATGGCGGCTGATGAATACATGATGTCATCCCCAGTCCTACTCATTACGTCTTTAACGCTTCATCTGCACTCCACTGTAAAAGAAAATAAATGTATATGTAGCAATAACGACTACGACGTGCATTTCATTGTGCAAACCTGTGTTGCAGAAATATTAGTATCAGAGCTGATCCATATTGAAAAGATCTAAGACTCTACAGTGCAGCATTTCGCCCACATGCTAGTGAAAATTACAGTGTACCTTTACAAAGGTTTGAGCTGAACTCTCCTACAGTGATGTATTTGTGTTCACAGGTGCACCGTGGAGTTAGATGAAGTCAATAAACTCTCTTTCTCATTATCAAAAGCTCAGTGTACAAAACATTCAGGTAGCAGCTTCTCATGTTCAGACTTTCACCTGTTAAAATGAGAAACGTGGGTGGCAGCAGGTCATTTTAGCTGTCACTAATTAACGTTACTTCAGTGAGAACCTTGATGGCAGGTCAAAGTTAAACTTGTCTGTTGTCTGGTTAAAATGTCTGCATCTGCTGTCTGTACTCAGCCAAAGATTTGTGAGGGAAGAAGTTTCACTCTGTAACACCACTGAACAATCAAAGTGGAACTCCAGCTGAGTTCTTCTCTCTGGCTGATCACGTCACAGCAACTTCAACTCTGCACTCGTTCATATCAGATCGATAATTTAGGTTTAAAACATAATAGTTTTGATTGTACATATTTTGTGTGTGTATGTGGAGACTGTGGGTGTTACATTATTTAAACTTTGTCTTTACGTTCTTTGGTTCTTCTGCAGCAGTGAAAGTAAATGAAGCCTTGAAAGCAGATTTTCTACAGTGAACAGATTTATTTGTACTATATTGCAACAACAAAGGCAAATAATGAAGGAAGACGGAGTAGCTGATCATCAGTTGATCCTACAGTGAAACAATTAATAAAACCTCTTCATATAATTGGTAAGTTTCTATCTGAAAATGTCTGTTTGGTGACGTAAACTTTATTTTTACTTTGGCAGTTTGCTGCTTACTTTTGCACCATTTAAGGTTTCACACTGGACTACTTATATTTACATACAAACTAGAAAAAACTTTTGACAGGCAGTGTATTTAACAACATGTAGGTTAATATAATTATCAGTTCAGATTCGGAATCAGCAGAGACTAACCAACTTGGTTAGGGAAACTCTGATCAGGACCAAGAGAAACTCTTGATCAGGACATCCCAATTGCCAGAATGAAATAAAACTTGTGTAATTACAAAAGAACTGTTCTGTAGTGTAGGCGATCAGATTTTATTAAAAACTGAATGGTCTTCAGGTCAGTTTACAGTAAAAGCAGTTCTCTTACTTTGTTTCTGAGGGTCCAGGTTCATCACTGAAGTCTGGAGGTCTCCATTTGGTCCGGTCACTCTTCATGGACAGACAGCTGGAGACTGGAGACTCTGCTCGGTCCTCCTCCTCCTCCACATCACTCATCTTCTCTGAGAGGTCAAGCAGTAACACTGGAGGCAAACACGCATACAAAAGTCAGTACTCTAAGTTGGTAGCTTCTTCTAGTTTAATCTAAAACGTGTATTTTCGAGCCATCATCGTACACATTTTGAAACAAGGACCAAAAAACAGGAAATAACATTTGAACACATCACCTTGAGCTCTAGGACAGTGATTTCTTATTAACATCACAGACAACAGCAATCAGCAGATAAATAAATAATGGTTACTCATTATAATTAATAATGCATCCTTATTAATTACGCATTTAGAATTAATGACTAATAATTATGAATGAATGAGTAGTCATTATTTGCAACACTCACCCTGCCTCGGGCGTCCTTTCTCCTACAAAACAAAGCTCTTGTTAACGACACAAAGACAGGAGCGTCTGCCGGTGAACAAAGCAGCCGATTCAGAAGCTATTTCCAGGAAATGCAGAGTCACTCCGACCCGGTGATCCAGGTCAACGTTCAACAGAGAAAACCATAAAACTGAGTGTTCAGTGGGTCAGTTCAGAGAAATCGACACATCAGAGGGAGAATAACAGGTTGAGTGTTGATCCAATAATATTTTACAGTCCAGGTTTCCTGCCGTTATCAGAACCATAGACGTGGGTTAGCAGAGCCCTAGTCCGGCTCCTGGTCACTGCAAGAAGGTCCCTACAGACGCAGTCCAGTTCACTTCAGACTGCTGACGTACTGCAGTAAGCGTGTCGACTCATTTCCGTTTCCGGTGCTTGTGTGTTGGTACCGTGTTGTGCTGCTCTCACTAAATAACAGTTACATTTGTTTGATTACAGCGGCCAACTGTTCGCTAAACACTTATTCTTACAGTAATTTTGCCTAAGCACTCACAGTTCTTTCCATCTTTTAGTGACTGCTGTTCAATCTCATAGTTGTTCTAAAGTTTTGGTAGCTGACGCTACAGTACTTTAGCTTAGCCGTTAGCGACTTTAGCTTAGCAGCTAGCGATGGCTTCTCCTTCTCCCTCTCTCTCTCCTACTTTCTCCTGCTCGGTGTGTCAGATGTTCAGTTACTCCTCTGCCTCCTTTAGCGGTAATGGTACATGTAATAAGTGTAGTTTATTTATAGACATGGAGGCGAGGCTCAGTGAGTTAGAAGTCCGGCTCCGCACCTGGTAGATCAGTCTTTAGCTACTGTAGCTAGCCAGTCCCCGGTAGTCGGTGCGGAACGGCCTGAGTTAGCCTCTGGTAGCCGTCCCCCGGCATCCCCTGTGCGGCCAGGAGGAATAGTCGTAAGCATTTAAAGCCCACGGGGCACCATCAACCTGTTCACGTTTCTAACAGATTTTCCCCACTCAGCGACACACCCGCTGAGAAACCAACTCTGATCATTGGCAGCTCCATTTTGAGAAACGTGAAGTTAGCGAAGCCAGCGGCCATAGTTAGGTGCATCCCTGGGGCCAGAGCGGGCGACACTGAGTCTTATTTGAAACTGCTGGCTAAGGATAAACGTAAATACAGTAAGATTGTTATTCACGTCGGCGGTAATGACTCCCGGTTACGCCAATCGGAGGTCACTAAGATTAATGTTGAGTCGGTGTGTACATATGCAAAAACAATGTCGGACACCGTAGTTTTCTCTGGACCCCTGCCAAATCTGACCAGTGATGACATGTATAGCCGCATGTCGTCATTCCGCCGCTGGTTGTCGAGGTGGTGTCCAGCAAACGATGTGGGCTTTGTTGATCATTGGCAGACTTTCTGGGGAAGACCTGGTCTGATCCGGAGAGACGGCATCCATCCCACTTGGGAAGGAGCAGCTCTCATTTCTAGAAATCTGGCCAAGTTTATTAGTGGGCCAAATCCATGACAACCCAGAGTTGAGACCAGGATGCAGAGTCGCAGTTTAACACACTTCTCTGCCCTTTTTCAGCAGTTACCCACCCAAAACCCTACGCAGAGTCGCAGTCTAACACACTTCTCTGCTCCTCCATTTCAGGAGTTACTTAGTGAAAACCCTATAGTGACGGTGTCTGTCCCCCGACCATCGAAATTATTTAAAAAGGTAAACAGAAGAGGAGCTGTGCATAAAAACCTCATAAAAATTAAAACCACAAGAGCAATAGTGCAAACGAATAGGAGAGTTAAATGTGGACTCTTAAACATCAGATCTCTCTCTTCTAAAGCTGTACTAGTAAATGAACTAATATCAGATTATGATATTGATTTATTTGGTCTTACTGAAACCTGGCTGGGTGATGGAGAATATGTTAGCCTAAATGAATCCACCCCTCCCAGTCATATTAATACTCACATTCCTCGAGGCACAGGCCGAGGAGGTGGAGTTGCAGCTATCTTCGACTCTAGCCTACTAATCAGCTCTAAACCTAAACTAAACTATAACTCATTTGAAAGTGTTGTTCTTAGTCTTTCGCACCCAAGTTGGAAATCACTGCAACCAATTCTTTTTGTTATAGTGTACCGAGCACCTGGCCCGTACTCTGAATTCTTATCTGAGTTTTTGTCAACTTTAGTCCTTAAAACGGACAAAGTTATTATTGTAGGGGATTTTAATATTCATGTGGACGTTGAGAATGGCAGCTTCAGTACTGCGTTTATCTCTTTGTTAGATTCAATGGCTTCTCTCAGAGTGTTCATGAACCGACTCACTGTTTTAACCACACCCTCGACCTTGTTTTGGTATATGGTATTGAAATTGAACATTTAGTGGTGTTCCCACAGAATCCCTCTTTATCCGACCACTGTTTGATAACTTTTGAGTTTGTACTGCTGAACTACTCGCCATTGGGCAAAAATTTCTATACAAGATGTCTGTCTGATAGTGCTATAGCTAAATTTAAGGATGCGATTCCATCAGCTCTAAATACATTATCTAGTCACAAAGTAACGGAGGACTCCTATGCTAATTTCAGTCCCTCCCAAATCGATCATCTTGTTGATAGTGCTGCAGGCTCGCTGCGAATGACACTCGACTCTGTTGCCCCTCTAAAAAAGAAAATACTAAAACAAAGACAGTTAGCTCCATGGTATAATACTGAAACTCGCAAATTAAAGCAAATATCGCAGAAACTTGAGAGACAAAATTCACCAAGACCTGCCCTCAATTGGCACCACTTATCTCTAAACTCAGGAACCTTAGAAACAGCTGTAGAACCAGATATATGTTTAGACTGTTTTGCTTCCCTCAATCTTTACCAACTAACTTCAATAATTTCTTCATCTAAACCATCAACCTGCCTCTTAGACCCCATCCCGACTAGGTTGCTTAAAGATGTTTTACCCTTAGTCAGCACTTCTATACTAGATATGATCAATCTATCTTTATCAACAGGCTATGTACCACAGTACTTTAAAGTAGCTGTAATTAAACCTCTTCTGAAAAAGCCCAAACTTGATCCGGATGTTTTAGCCAACTATAGACCTATATCTAAGCTTCCATTTCTCTCTAAGGTTCTGGAGAAAGCAGTTGCTAAACAGCTGTGTGACTTTCTACAGAGCAATAGTTTATTTGAGGATTTTCAGTCAGGATGATACTCAGTTATATCTATCGATCAAGCCAGATAAAACTCATCAGTTAGCTAAATTTCAAATGTGCCTTCAGGATGTTAAAACCTGGATGACCTGTAACTTTCTCATGTTAAACTCAGATAAAACTGAAGTTATTGCTCTGGGGCCTAAGCACCTCCGTGACGCATTATCTAAAGATATAGTTTCCATGGTTCTGCTCGAGGTTTCTGCCTCTTAAAGGAAGTTTTTCCTTGCCTCTGTCGCTTAGTGCTGCTCTTGGTGGGAACTGTTGGGCTTTCTTTAAATATCATCACAGAGTACGGTCTAGACCTGCTCTTTTATGAAAAGCGCTTTGAGATAACTGTTGTTGTGATTTGGCGCTATATAAATAAAATTGAATTGAATTGAATTGAACTTCAGACTGGGAGGATGAGCGGTTAACTGCAGGTGACGGCATTAAAATCTGAATTCATCTGGAACTGCTGTCAGAGCAACAAGTCCTCGAGCTTTTCACTTTCAGCGTGCATGTGATGATGCACGTGGTAAAAGCACACTGTGAAACAAAATGATAATCCAGGAACAACTCTAACATCTGGATTAGTTAAACCACATTGGGAGAACTGGGTCCTGGTCAGGTTGAGTAGATGAGCAACTGTCCTGGCTCATTTATCTTTTGTCTAACGATGCAGTTAAACAGCGGTGCAATAAATATGACCTTTGAAAAGTTAACCTGAAGATTGTTATCAGTTTATTCACACCACCGCACTAGTGTACCCAATAATTTAATCCCATTCTTAAAGGGCCAGTTCACCAAAATCACACAGGAAAGAAAAGATTTTTCAAAGTTTCATTTATTATTTGATTAACAAGGACATGACAGATGAACACTGTTACATTAGTAAGAAAGAAACTAAAATGCTGAAAATCTTTGGACTGACCATAGAAGGAAAAGCAGAGGCGTTACATCGACAACACCTGTGCTGCATTAACAATGACCAATAAGACATGACAGCATAAAGAGGACGCTCAAACTGAAGGAGCTAAATGGAATCTAGCCATCAGTATTTTCCTGCCTTTCCTACAGCAATGTGTCAAAACGCATTCTGTGAAAAGAGCCAGTCGTCAGCGCTTATTACCTGACATTACCTGTATTTTTCCCCAGTGGATTAAAGGGTCAGGCCTCCTACTTCTACCTGCATGTAGACATGCACATACATGCAAGGACAAACCTCTCTGGCACAGCGATCCAAACTTCTTCTCAAACATTTAATGTGCCATTTGTTTGTCAACCAGCATGTCCTTACTCCCATCAAAGTCAGTGGGTAAAGTCCTCCCGAGGTCCACTGACCGGGACTGGACCCGGCCTCAGTCTCATTAAAATGTAGGACAGACTCTCAGAATCCCATCGTGAGTTTTGTCTCATGCAAAAGAGGATTCCTTTGCCGAAGTGTGCAAACAGGATCCTGAAAGAGGTTCACAGCCCGTTTTTTCCATTTCTCCAAACTCAATACGCAGAAATAGTTTGAGCGGTCAGCAGAGCGTCTACGCCACAGCGGGGATAAAATACTGCAGAGACACGTCTTCATGCAGCAGAATCAGGTGGAGCACCCTCTCATGAACGATGTCTGAGGGGACAAGAGGACAACGTCAGGGGAAAGTAACAGAACCACCGCTGATATGGTCAAAACATGACTTTATTATTTCATATTAAAAACGTAACATATTCACACATCGAGTGCACAGAAATGGAAAATGAAATTTCAATGTGATTAAATTACTTGAACATCCATAAGACAGAAGGAATGAATGGAAGGGAAAGTAAGAAGGTAAATTGAAAGGACAAGAGAGAGAAATCTTATTTTTATATCTGTAACTTTAATGTAACAGATAATTAACTTACTACTCATGTAAAGACTTTTGTCGGATTCATCAACGTTTTCCTCTTTCCAAAATGTTCTGAGGTTTGAAATGGTGGTCCAAACATTTCACATCATCATCACATTCATCACATTTCCTAAATTGTAGTCAAGTTGTTGTTGTGTTTTGAATAGTTTTGTTTGTTCTGATATTTACTATCCACAGGAAGCTGACGCAAAGGATTGCCTTCCTCATACTGGATTATATTGGCGTTTCATTCTGCTAATGCCCGTCAGGTACAAACATCCAATTTATGAACGAATCAGGTTTGCACCTGGGTAACAACAAATCAGCTGGCTGCCACATTTGTCATGAATCTGAATTTTCTTATTTTTGTGAACAAAACAAAGAAAATGAGACCAAATGTCTCATCGAGCTGAATCTGGGTTGTTTTTCCATTTTGGAGCTGTG